AGCAAAGATCCAACTGTTGATTGTTATCTATGCTAAAAGCTGATAATTGACATGCTTGTAACACTTCCAATGCACACAAGAAAGCCCAACACTCAACAGATCCTTCTGGTCGTTGAATTTCTAGAATTTGTAATTCACTCAGTGTATTGTGAATAAAAGATAAGCATCGTTGTGCAACCTGATTGAGGGAAAATCAATGATCACATTTAAATATTTCGTTAGGCTTGAATGAAGAAGATAATTCTAAAGAAATTTGATCGCACGAACCTCCCATGGCTTTTTAAGGAACAAAAGCATAGAGCATTGCCTACTAAATAAATAACTTCTAAAATCCAACAATGATGCTTTGCATTCGGCTAAGAGAAATCTTAAATGATGATTAACGCCATTATTTAAGTTTACACCAGCCCAATTATTGAGAGGTGTCTGGAATAAATTCAGCCAAGCTGGTGTGTCTGTAATGAATAAAAATAATAGTGCATACAAATGGGATATTAGTGAAAAAAATTGATAAAATTCAATTTAAAAACTTTAGTATGGAATAAAAAAGGTAGTAACAAAAAAAGAGGTAAATGAAGCTTTTAAGTATGAAGATAAATTAAATTACATTCTAAAACTTAGAGGGACATTTCAACTGTACCTCCTACATTAGAATTTAATACGAATTGTGTAAAGAGAGCATCCAATTCATCATATTGTACCAATGCTTCGTCATATAAACCCAACATTTGCAATACAAATGCAAGTTCTTCCTGAAACATTAATATAAAATAAATTAATTTTATATATGTTTATATGTTATTTTTAATACAAACATTTACTTGTCATCGATACGATACAATTAATACAATTAATTCCGCATATAAAAAAAAAAGTAGAATCCGTTTGAACATTAGAATGTTTTTACCTGTAAAAGGAAATAATGGCAAAAGTTCCAACCAGGGAGATTCCGGCTTTCTCTCCGTTCTCTTATAATATCTTCGAATCGAGAAAGAGTTTTGTCATATGCAGTAAGCATCAAATGGCGAATACGTCCAATTAATCCTCTCCAAGTGTCCGTTGAACGAGATTTATACTTAATAGGATTTATTACAGCAAAGCATCTATATGACATGGCAAATAACAAATACAATTATCTAAATAAATATGATTATCTAATAATAGGATATAAATTTTATTTTTCAATATTAATTTAATACGATCTATATTACCTGTCGCCAGCTTTTGAAGCAAAGTCACTCCTAATCTTATCTAAAACAGTAGTTCTAGGTAATAATTTGGTACTTTTTTTTGGATCATACGTTTCCACTATTACAATCATCCAGTCTTGAATGTGATAAGAAGATAATATCTTCAACCAAGCATCTATGTCATCTCTCACACTGTTTTTATAAACGTCAATATCCTAAAATTATATTTTCCATGGATTTATTACGAAATAAGGAATGTTAAAAACTAACAGAAAAATAATATACACATATGAAATGCGTGTACGCGAACGCACATTTCAATTTCATTTTCAATATCACTTACAGTACATTCACTCCAGTAAATGTGCAAGACAGGCTGATTTATGAGATGCCAATCTTTTTCATTCGGCAAGATATCTCTGGAAAATGATACAAAAGATGCTCCAAGTTTAACCTGTTTAATAGGTCTGCCAAATGATCTACGCCACTCGACCGTGCTCTCAGGAATAGCTTGAAGCAAACTATTTTTCAAAGTAGAAAATAATTCTTCATCTCCAGCATCTACAATATGATTAAAAGTACTTTATAGTAATAAATTCATGTGCAACAATCGTAAGGAATGAAAATTATAATTAGAAACAAAAGATTGACTATATTGGCTATATTTGTAAAGATGTTCCATTTCTGACAATTCATGTCAAGTGCCTTTATTAAAAAGTTGCTACACATTAATCAACATATGTTTCTTAACTTTATGATTATTGCAAGGCGAGAAAAATAAATCTTAACAGAAATCATTATTTCAGTATGACAAATGATTAAATTCATTATGAAAAGTATATTAAAGTATTAGAAAAAAAAAAAAGAAAAAAAAAAGGAAGAAAAAAGTGCTAAGAGATCGAGCTCGTATCGAAAAGGGGGCGTTGATAACAATAATCATTGATGATCGTCATCGTAAAGAGGTTAAGTGTAAACATTCATAGAAACGAACTTACAGGTGACGATAGGTTTGCTATCCATGTAAGAATTGACCCTACGTTTACCATCCAAAGACGACTCTCCATTGCAATTCATTTCTACGAAGACTTGATTGTTTCACAAGCTTGCTTTCAATCATTACAATTTTCCGTCAATATCGTCGCTTTCCACAAAGAGCCAACAGCTTTGTCAACTAGAACGACGATTTTTAAGTACCTTAAAAGTCGCAGTAAGCTAAACCATGAATTTAGTTTCTCGTACGATGATCCTTTTAACTGACAAAAGTTAAACTTGGAACGATACGCCACTTCGCGCCACATTTTCAAAGTTGTCCACAATTTCCGTCGATAAAATCGCGCATGTCGATATCGATAACATAGTAATAAATTAGCATGTTTCATTCAGTATTAAATACTTCCAAACGAAATATATTACATATAAAATATATATTAATAATAATCTGTCTCTTTATTTGTGCCTAATTTGTCTACTCGTATCACTCGAATTATTCGATTATGATGATATTTATTTTCCGCTTTTTTACATTACAATTGTGTAGTATCCAAATGTATCGACGATATCAAAAATCCCTATAGAATAAGAAGAGTTCTATAATACTAAGAAGCACAAAGTGTATCCCAAATGATTCTAACCTTTGTTTCGTGCATGCTTACAGTATTACGAACTGTTGAGTTTCCTTATTGACAATTGTACGTAAAGTGTTTCAAAAGTAATTTCTATCACAGGAAAAAGAAAAAAAGAAAAAAAGAAAAAATAAAAGAAACATTCGATACGGGCAAATGAATATGCCCGTATTTATATGAATTAATTATAAACATAACAAACAATTATCCTATAAAATATGGTATTTTTTGAAGTGACAGCCAGGAAATATTAATCACCGCGAAAGATTTCAACATTAATACTGACACCTATATATTGTATTACATTGAAGAGTATGTCAGGAAAAGGTAAACAAAGTTCTAAGAAAGCTGTTGGCAAGGTACGCGAGTGTGTAAAAACTGCAGAAGCATCTGTGCTTAATGCCGACATGAGTCCAAGCGGAACAGAATCTATAATGTCAATACCTATTTTAAAGATATCTGACAATAGTCGACTTCTTCCAAGATACGCCAGTGTCTTACAGCGTACAACAGAAGATAGCGTGGGTATGGAAGATTTGGATGCTTTACAATTAGAACTGGAAACCCTACTTTCCTCTGTCGTAGTAAGACATAGAATGCTTCAGGATGAAATAGCGAGTTTATCTTCGGCCGAAGAACGTAGGGATAAAAGATCTAAAAGTGGGAAAGGTTTATCGCTTCTTGATAGAAAAGTTAGAGAAGAAAAATTTAAACCTAAGGAAATAAGCACTAAAACTCAAACTTCAATATCTACTAAACTAGTAAAACAAAAAACATCTGGAAATTTAGGAAACCAAGCAATTCCAAATATACATGATATAGGAAAGATCGAAGGATCTAAATCTGATGCTCCAAAATTATTATTGCCAAAGAATGATACGCCTAATAAATTTTGGGCTTCTGTAGATCCGTATTGCACCGACATTATGCCGGATGATATTAAATTATTGGAAGAATTAATTGTAATGCACAGCGATCTAAGCGAATATAAAAAGATTCCACCGTTAGGTCGTCACTATAGTTTACTTTGGGCGCATAATGATTTATTGCAAGAAGAGGATGCAGCTAATCCAAACAGAGAGAAAAAAAAAGGTCGTACAGACGTGTCTCTTTTGGTTCCTAAAGGAGATAAGAAAATGAATGGAATTGCTGGTCCTTTAACCCAAAGGCTAGTTTCTGCCTTACTAGAGGAAAATGTATATGTCGCAAATAATAATACAGATAATAAATTATTTAGAAATAATGATCCTCCAGTGCTTAGAGATTTAACAATACAAAATTCAATGAATTTGGAAATAAGAATGCACAAAGAATTAATAGAACAAGGCATACTGGATTCGGATGGGCAGAAAAAAAATCAAGACGACGACGAGATACTTACTGAAATCAAAAGATGTCAACAAGAACTCTCCGCTTTGTCTAATCACAATGTCACGCAGCTAAAGAGGCTGTTAAATCTTGCACAGGAGGAGAGTAAACGACAGGCACTTAAAAGAAGAATTACTGCGGCAGATAATGAAGTGATAGAAAATTATAAAAAATTAATCCTTTCTAAACAAAGAAAAATACCATTAACCAAGAAGGAACAAGAAAAGGCTTGGATGTGTTTACGCGAAAGAGAGAACTTATTGAATCAACTTAATATGCTACCACAAAACAATCTTGATACTTTGAGTTTTTCTAATAGTTCAGTTTAATTGTCTACGAACTTGATGTAATATATCGAAAAAAGACCAGTTGTAAATTTATTGCTCATGATGTACACAATACACTCTTTATTCAATCATAATACATTTTATAAATAATTCATAATCAATATACTTCATTCTTAAGCATACAGATTGTATACTTAAAACAATTATCCAGCATATTTTATTCTTATCGTGAAGAACATTAATTGTGATTAGGATTATTCGTGTATATAACGTGACATAATAATTGCGACCAGATGAGCAAAAAATAGTGTATTTGTATATAGTATGATGTAATTGTATTAGATAGTATGAGAAATGTAATAGTATGAGAAAAATCCTAATTTGTAACTATTTTCAAAAAAAAAAAAAAAAAAAAAAAAAAAAAAAAAAAAAAAAAAAAAAATTATAGCATTATTTACTTAAAAAAAAACTTATTTATAATTTTTTTTTTTTTTTTTTTTTTTTTTTTTTTTTTTTTTTTTTTTTTTTTTTTTTTTTTTTTATACATCATATCCATTAAACAGTAGTGACATAAACTAATTTCGTCGAAATAAGAGGAATGAAAGTTAAACAAATTATTGTATATACGTAAAACATATGTACATACGATGATCGCTTTCACAGTATTAAATTGGTATTTTCTTTTGATTAATATAAATTGGATCTTCATAACGACGAATATCGAAATGTAGTAAATATAGCAAAATATAAACAAACGTGTTAATGGATAATCTCATTACACATTAATACTTCGTGATAGATCAATCTATTAGAAAGAGTACACATGTAGGATACTATAAGCACGTTTGTAATATAATGGTGCGTAATATTTCAATACAGCACAGTGAGTGTAGAATCATATAAAGGCAACTATGTCGAGAAATTTAGCTAACGCTTTTTTCCCTTTAGAATTAATTTTGAAATTGTTTGCACTCGGAAATTTCGAACATTTTCCCGGACAACTAAGCATATATTTCACTAACTCGTATATAATAATTGTCTGGCTTATTTATTTTAGCTTTGCCATTTATTTGGAATATCACAAGTTCATTTGTAAAGATATCGTAGGTTTTATAATGTTCAATTCTAAATTATTCACGACTATGACAATGGTGATGAGTCTCCAGTATTATAAGCAAGTATGTTATTTATTATTTCAAACTATCCAACTATTCATATTAGAGATGCATACTTTCGTATACCATCAACTAGACATTTTATTATAATTACACATTTTTTTCGGTTACGATTAATAAACATTTTATCGAATAGTTATAACTAAGAATTGATTCTTATGTTTCTTTTGTTATATGTCAGACACGGAAGCGATGCTTGGACAAAATTACATTGATAAACGATACATTGGAAAGACTTCAGATTCCAAACAAATATCAAAGTTTACATAATAGAATAAAGCGTAATATTCTCGTATGGATATTAATTACTGTCAGTATAAATATAACAGAATTGTCATGGTACAAGGATAACTTAAAAGAGATCAAATCATATTTGCTTATATACACAATAAATCATCCTTCAATTGCTAATAGCCTGATCCACATGAAATATGAATCTGTTATTTGGTATGCACCTTTGTAAGATCAATGTGATATTTTAAAGAGATATAAGAAAGTGATATTTTAAAGAAATAGTATCCCTTTCTCAATAGGTCACAATCAATATATTGTATAAAATAAAATTTTAATTCTCGATCATTATAGAGAATCGTTAAGAAAAAAAAATTTTATCTTAAATGAATTTAATGAATGGAAATAAAAATTAATAATTTAGTACACACACAGACACACATATATATATATTTTTTTGTATATATAGGTATACGGCGTCGATTTTTGAAAAAATTAATAAATATATTTTACATCTATCCTTGAACAAAAATAACGATTCGGAAACATCGAAGCGGACAAGCGAAGCTTTTAAAAGATCGAATTACCAACGTCTCATTGATACTCCTCAGTATAAACGAAGTTTATTAACAATAATGTAAATATACAATAATTATTGTTTATTTATAACCTTACAAAATATCCATACTTAATCTATTGAAAATATTACACCAAAGGCACGTACACCTGGAACTTTCAAAAACATGTTATGAATTCCACAAAACATTTGAAATACAACTAACTATTGAAATGGTGACTCAATTTATATATATATTGGGATATGTACAGGCACAACATATATATTTTAAATTTACATTATCCTATATGTTTGATTTTACGCCTGTAGTATTGTCGATGGTTATAGCATTGTTTAACGTGATATTTATAAATAACACAATCGAAAAATGTTGCACGAAGGTAATAACAATGATAAATAAATGTATTTTACTTGTTTACAAAGTAATAAATACTTTATAAAATATATAAGTGACTACAATGTAATTTAGGTGAAATGTACGGAACACGCGCTTCATATTTTAAGAGATTTTACGTACGATCCAGAAAGACAAGAAGAGGTAAGATAGCTTTATCGAATCAAATTATATAAACGAGGATGAGAAATGTCGATGACATTATAATCGCCTATAAAACTTTGTGTTCTATAGATTTTCCAATTTATTCTACAAATTACACAAAAATGACTAAGGCTTTCCGGGGTGGGTCTATTTGACTTTGGCCATCACTTCGTTTACAAGGTCAGTAGTAACCTTAACACATTTTAAGTTACAATCTTGTTTTGGTTTATATCAATTATTAATAAATAATTTATTTAAAATGAAATTTTTCAGTATTTTCTATTCATGATGGATTGCATTATTATTATTCAACAATTGAACGATAGCTCAAATTATCCACCGTAAACGTTTTGTAATATTTATGAAACTACTATTGTATATTATCGTTTTCGGCAGTAGGTATAATGAAATTGATATCTCCCGAATAGTGCTTTCTTTCAAATAAATTTGAATGTTAAAAGATAAAAGTTAATATATAACATACTTTTATTAAAATAAATAGTAATAGTAATTACTGAACACACTTATAACTGAGAGAAGTTTCCGAATATAAATACAACACTCGATAGAATTAATATAATGTCTACTTACTGTTAGTTCCTGTATAATTCATATTTCTTAACTCGTAGAAAAAACTTTTTATAAGAAAATTATTTTGTCATATCTAAGTATGTAATAATCATTATTTCAATCTCTATCGATAAATCGAAAACGAAGAGGTTTATCAGGTACATTCATCATATAAAAACTTGTTCCAATATCGGCGTAATTATATTCGATTTTGAACTCCCGGACCAACTAAAAATATATATCCAAATTGACAATAGATAATGGATTTTGCACCATTTTCATATTTACCTTTGCCGTAAGCAATGCCATTTTTATTTCCGCCATATGTCTTCCCAGACAAGATCGTGCGCCATGTCCAAATGGTAAAAAACTATACTCTTGAAAATCATCATCCATTTGATTCGTTAACCATCTTTCCGGTCGAAATTTCTCCGGATCTTCGAAATTTTCTTCGCGTTGTGACGTTATTTGACTGGCCATTATTACAAAAGTCTAAATATTTTAAATATTTTGAAAAGTGAAAAATATATATAAAAGGAAAGAAATGCGATATATGCGTTTACCCCTTTTGGTACTGTATATCCATGGAGACATATCGAATTTGGTAATAGTCTGGTAATGTAGGGAAAAGCAGGTCGCAATCTTGAATAAAAATGTAGTCGCACCGTATAATTATCCAAAAAATTAAATATTTTTATTGATATTAAAATATTACGATACCTTAGACTTTCTTTCAAGCAAGCTTTTAAATACGGCATGTCTTGCAAATTAGTTTCGGTTATCGAAGATTCCGCGTTAGGAATAACAGAAACGATCTCTTCGTATAATTTTTTTTGAACTCTGGGACTCTTCGCCAAGAAGTATAAAAGAAACGCTTCGCAGTTTGTCATCTGAAAACGTAAGGCTAATAGGCTAATAGGGACTAATTAGATTATTTTTAACGAATTATCTTTACTGCTTGAACTCCCAAAATTGCCATGTCCATCAATAAGGTAGAAACATCATCGGGATGAAGACGTTGAGCTAATAACAATTTTTCTAAAATGGGCGAAGTTTCATCGGAACAAGACAACGGCGATCGAGTTCGGAACATATTTTGTGCTTGACGAATGTATTTACTTATAATACTGAAATAAAATCAATTAATTTGATATCACAAATTGATATAAAACGATGAGTAGCTTACCCATCGATAACATCGCACGCCGAAAAAAGCCGTTTGGAAAAGGGAGTATCAAAGAATCTCCATACTTGAAAACCAGTTTCGCAACGACTTAAATATTTGTGGGCGGTCGCAAGCGCATCAATGAATATTGCTGGCTCCGAAGTAGGATTCTGTCCTGTTGAATCAAGAAATCCAAGCTTCTTATCGAATATAAGGGTGAAGAAACATTCCGAGCCCCAGCGAGCAATCTCTTCATTAAAATTATTAGGAACCTAATCGTTCGTAAAAACGTTCGTTCTAGCAATTGGATTTGGAACTTGTTTGAAAACTACATACGTACTTCATCCTGTCTATTACGTATTTTTCGTATTTGACCAATAAAATCTTCGGAAATTATTTCAAGCTTTCTGAGAAACTTTGATTCTATCTTGTTGAACGATTTGTGTACTTTTTCTTTCAATTCTAACCATTCCGAGCATTGCCTATGACAGAGAGCGATTTTGACCTTTTCCCTTTTGCCAGAAATACCCCCCCCCAAACACACACACATACACATACACACGCGCGCGCGCACGCACGCACGCACGCACGCACATGCACACACACGTTACGATATAGAAATATAAATACGATACTAACATTGAAAAAGCACCTGCGAGACGATATTTCCGATAGTGAAGACGATAGTGCTCGAGAACATCGATACCACTGCGAATAGGTGCATCGCCTTCTTGTTTAAAAACTTCTCCTATATGTTCTGGTCTGATGGATCAATCCGAAAGTAAAATCAATATTTTTCAATATTTTTCATTTATCCAAGTAATAGCGTTAATACCTATGAATCATGACGATATCACCGGATAATGGACCACTGAGTCTTACGATACAACCGTATCTATTAAAAAGATATTTAACCGGCGTAATGTTGCGATTCCAACTTAAACGTCCTAAAAGTATTAATAAATATGCAATAACTATACGACGTGCTTATTGCGATCGAACTTGTTTTAGTAAAAGTATCAAATGTAATGTGGGAGAAATAACTAATAGTCTATATCATAACTAATAACTATATCATGGAAAAATGAATTTTTCAATTGAGTCTCCAAGCGGATCTCGAACTTTTGACGGATCATACCCTGGCTGAATCTGTTGATTAGCAGACTGGAAAACAGTTGCGTACCGAAAATCGGCACGTATTTCCAATATTTTTCCCAGAGCTTCATTATTATGGGACCTGGTATCTGATCGAAGGATAATGGAGCCCTATCTTCGATGGTAGGTCGCAAAAATTTACTCGCTAATTCAAAGGTTTCCGACATCACTTCCGCGCTCGTTGACTCCATCAAAGGTAGCGTGTCATCACGATTTAAAGTTTCGCTAACGGCTGACGCTGCGTGAGATTGGGCCATACGTGCCGCTAAAGTATATCATTAATTGTGTTTACGAGTATTAAACACCAAATATTAAATTATTGCAAAAGCAATTGTCATATTATAAAAAATGATGTTAATAAAAATGGCGTAACTTACGTATAACTTCATTGCTATTTATATCTATGCATCTTTGATTTTCCACATTCGACAATACCGGAAATTTAGTAATTCCACGGCATATATTGCCATTCATACAAAATGAATAGAATCTAAGATATAGCGGCGTAGAAGGTGACAATACTCGGCACATCATGATTTAATCAAAATGAATCTTTCGTTTTTTTCTTCTCAAGATCAGAATAACGACGTTAGGTAAACAAAATTTATCGAGTATTCCTATGTCTTACATGAAACGAGAGATTAAACGAGTTGATATTGAACAAAAATAAATAATTAAATTTACATACCTGATATATATCTTGCTCTTTTAAGATATAACATGTATAATATAAGCGTCAATAAAAAATTGATAATAAGTGCTAACAAAATCGGTTGCCTTGGTAACTATCAAACAAAGTTCGAACTTTCTATTTCACTATTGTGAATACGTGTATGTACGAATATTATATTTCTTCGGTTCTATAAGCCATGTACATGGAATAAAGCAGATGGTCAGATGACGTGCGTGTTTAAGAATTGTACGCAGTAAAACGAGTTTCTTTGTATACATTACGAACAGTGTATTCAATATTATTTTGAACAGGGTATCGAGAATTGTATTGAATTCGCATATTTACGCGCGGTATGAATACTGTCTATGTGCTCCTAAGAAACACCAACAATTATCTGTACATTATTTCATTACTTGGTAATATTACTTGGCCGATAATCTTACAGATCTAAGCCACGATTAATAGATGAAGAATCATTAATCGAGGTAATACGAAAGAAAATAATTTCACTATTGTCTCTTCCATTTTCTTTTTCTTTTTTTTTCTTTTTTTTTTCTTTTTTTTTTTCTTCCTCCTTCACATTCCTTCTTAGCAATCCACGTAATAGAGAAATAAATAAATATATCAGTTTTCGTATTCATAGATATCCATGAAAGAATTAGTAAAAAACATTTTTTATTAGCGATCAAAGTCTCCAACTTGTTAATAACTTATACATATATACATATGTATTACGATTCGTCTTATTGACGCAAAATGAAAAAACGATATATGTTATTGAAAATTCATGGAAAAAGCGTCGAAAGCCTGAAAAGCAAATAACCGAACTCGTTCAATTGTTTAAGAAGAAGGAAAAAAAGTGAACGTACGTTGTGGAATTCCAAAGAGCAAGGCCATAACCCGTCGAATTGGAATAGAAGATTCTTGAAGGTAAAGTTTAGCCAATCAATACATAGATCGAAATGTTTTATGTTCTCTATGTACTACTTATGTAGATTATTTCCTATGAAAAATTGGAAAAGCGACAAAAGTATTAATAATTAATTGATCGTGCATGATACGTGCTCGAAAATAAAATTTTGCGAATATATTTGCATTATGCGCTTTACTATAAAGAAAAGAGTACGCGCGTGCTGTAAGTTAATTGCGTTTTCGAAATAATTCTTGACGACATCGACAAAAAGACTGATTTTACGTCATAGATCTGGCGAGAGATGACGCTCGTAACGTCACGTGACCTTTTTATGCATATAACGAAGCTTATGTTATCGTACGAGAATGGCGCTGCTAATCAACATCAATGATTTTCCACTCTATCTCGTCCTCCCCATAACTGTGACTCTTACCCAATAATCTGATCGAACGATTGTTTTTTTTTCTTTTTTTTTTTTTTTTTTTATATACTAAGGCACTAAGAGGGGCAGAGATATTAGGAAGTTCAATCACGCACGTTTTTCTTACCTCGCGTGAAGCAACGCTTTGTGACAGTGTAGTGTAAGAGCCCGAAAAAGTCAGCTGTCTCGTCGCTTCTTCGTAGACGCATCATTAAATCCACAAGATCGAGCATAATCCTGAACAATGAATTATTCCGACATCACGTCGAACGTCGACAGCACCAGGTACGAATAATTGTTATATTTTCTCGCTTTCTCTTGCTCTTTCTCTCATTTCTCTTACTTTATCCTTTATAAGTCCCTTCGAATAAGATCGTCGTGTAGTAATTTTGAAAATGCGTCACACTCGTTCTTCTAATACGGCTCATAAAGAAACCCCAGAGCTCTTGATAAATAGTAAATTAGGCCAATTCAGGGTCAAACGTGTAATTCTTTTTCGTAGCAGTGCCTATTTCGAAGAAAAATTATTCGTTCATCTATACCGAATTAGTCATGGCTTATGACGAAGATAAAACGACGTCATTGAGGATATTGTGTCGCATTTCTTAATTCGGTTAAATTCAATTTCAAGTTTGACGAGTTACAGGGGATGAAAAAAATATGTCGAGTTACATCGGCTTTATCACGCATGAGAAAATCAAGAGATGTCCAATGATGTGGCTTCTTTGAAACGAGGCTATGCCACGTGAATCCTTCACTTTCAGATATATGTATATATATATGTATACACACACACACACACACACACATTCGCACGAGATGATTTTGAATTTATAATGCTTTCTTTGAAATATCAATGATATATCATTTTATGAAAACATTAAAACAGTTTTATATCATTCAACAATGAATATATCCAGTTTGGATTGCTTTTTAAATTTCAGAGGAATCAAAAATTCAATTTATTGAATTGATTCAGGATAAATATTACAAAGTATTGCCGGAAACAAAGATATTGCCTAAATTAAAAACTCCTTTAAATTCGAAATTCAAAGTACGTCGGAAAGATATAATTCATTATCTTTTTAAGTAAACTCATCTTCTATTTGCTTGTGTAATACGTCAAAAATAAAATTTCGGATATCTTCAAAATCTGAGATATCGTCTAACGATTAAAAAGGTAAATCGTAGTTTCGTTTAGGCGGTTAACGAATTTTTTTGTCAAATTAATATGATAATATATTCTTTCGTAATAACTTCTTTCTGATTCAATCTATGTTCCAAGATCTACGATGTAAAAATATTTTATTGAGATTTTATTTTTATTCGAAAAATATAAACGATAAAGCCGATAACAATTTCGAGATTAAATTGTAAAAAGGAAAAAAAAAAGGAGATTAATGAGAGATATAACGGAAGAACAATGTTTCATTATACAAACGTAAAGCATAAAACAAATAAAAAGAGGAAAGAGAATCAATAGAAGTATAAATATTCTTTTATTTCATTGAAATTCACGGTAACGAAAGCGGAATTCTTTTAAAAGGATACTATCGATGATTTTTTTTTTTCCACAATGATCAGAACGACGGATGTATGTAATATTCGTTCTACTGAATGAGCTATCCCGAAGCCCTTATTATGAAAACTAATAACGCCTTATTAAATCTATATTACGTAGACCCGTTGGGTCGATACTATCTGTGTGCGACGTTCTCGAATAATTGAACGAGTTCAAATTTTTTAAAGCTTTATCTATGATGCGCAATATCGTAACTACGAATTAAAAACTTTAGATTAAAAAAATATAGTTATAGATAATAGAACGATTTTATATACCTAAGATACGTTGAATACGAAGCAATCTTTCTAAATATGTCGCGGAAGCGAGACTGAGACGGTGATACTCATTGATATATGTATATTAAAAGGTAATCGTATTCTAATGGCGTTGATTGAAAATCAACTCATTTCGTTAAACCAATCAATTACATTAGTTTTACTATTGCTGAACGTTTGTCATCTCATTTCGATAAAGACTGTATGTTTATTCAAGAATTCCGAACAAAATATTTATAAGATGTTCTTTTGAAATAATCATAATTTCATACGAGTCTGATCGGGAAAAAGAGAGAGAGAAAGAAAAAAAAAGAAAAAAAAAGAAGAGCGAGAGAGAAAACAAATTCCAAGTAATAAGTGAATTAAAAAGTTGATAAGTTAAAGACAATTTAATGACATTAATTAAACATAGTGCGATTGTATAGCTATAGATACAATTATTCGTATAGCATAGAACGATAACGAGTGCTCGTGTACTCGTATGAGAGTCGTACGAGAGTCGTACGAGAGTCGTACGAGAGTCATACGATACCACCTCCGTCTTTTATGTACATACGTACTTCCTTTAATAGATTCGAAAATTTAAAGCGCTATTCAAATGAGCCAAATAATTACTTGGAATATATGATTAAGAAAATTCTCGATGACAAATGTAAAGACCATAAAGACGAATAAAGATACGCAAAATAATAAGTCATTGGATATAATGATGAGGAAAAAGTTTTAATAGATAAAAAATGAAAGTTACATTTAATATTTAAACGGAAAAAGACCAAGGTCAAAGTCGAACAAGTGCAGAAAAGGAAACATCGTAGGAGAGGGTAATTCGATCAACTATTTGCATATGTATTGTATATATTTATATGGAAGAGAATTAGACTCATCGATATCGATTCATTATGTAAGATAAACAAGTATATAAGTACGGAGGCTACGACCGATGACGTTCGCGCTTATTCGAGGGACGCGCGTCGGTCAAAGGTGTCTCCGGAACATGCAACCCATGCTATATCATGCACATACCTGTTCCCCCTTTCTAACGAAAACGCAATCCGTATGGAAATATGAAAAAATTATTATACGATATTAATCAATTTCATTATCATACGGTATCCGTTAATTTCCTTTATTCGATCCTAAGTCCGCCGGAAAAGGTAATGTAACAATGGATATGTAATGATGAATATAAATACTTAAAAATGAATATGGAAAGTATAAGAAAGATAGGAAAAAATAAATTTGAATTTATGTATCAACGTAGTATAAATTATATACATATGTATATACATATGTTTATATGTAGAAGATAATGCTCTTTACAACAAAGTTGCACGTCATTGTAACGTTCAATAAAACTCGACACTTAGCATTGGTCGAAACTCGAGTCGATGTTCGCGGTCCTCTTATAGTGTTGTAACGGAGAAATCGTCAGTGTGCGTGCGTCTAAGAGCAAGTTAAAATGTTGCGTATGGAGTATGTGTAATGTTTTTCTTCGATCATCTCTCTCTCTCTCTCTCTCTCTCTCTCTCTCTCTCTCTCTCTCTCTCTCTTCCCAATTAAAAGAATTATCCTTATTGGTGGTGTTAGATCATTCACTTTTTAGCACGTTGAGTTGCGTTAAACGTTGCTCCCTTTGAAGCAAAGATGAAAGTAATGGGATAATAATATTATGTGTTGTAGGACGAGTCTGCGTAGAATCGCGCGACATGACGAGCCAGAGTTCAGTTGCGCGAGCATTTTGAACAGCATGGAAAGATTCGTCAAGACCGTCAGCGAGATGGAAGAAACGATCTTGATACCGAGAAGACTGTTGGATCTGGCTGTTGGTGATGCTGGTGATACGATTCGTTTGAAAGCCGGCAATAACGTGAAAGAAACGTTAGCCAATACGGATTTGTATCGTTTGTATCACATCGTCAATCAGATGAAAGTCGAATTGCTCTGGTCGAAGGAGGATCGTATCCAATCTCGGGAAGAGGAAGATGCCGATAAATCGGTCCTTGTTTATCAAATGAATACGGAAACCGCCAATAGATTAGGACACGCTCGTTGTCCAAGCACTACCTCGATGCAAAGCATACAGAGCGCATCCTCGATCGCGTCTTCTCTTTCATCCGATTCCGAGTCGGATATCGGAGTCGAAAATGATTCCAGTCTAGAGAACGAGGAGTGCATCGATCTAGCTAATTCTATTGCCAACAATTTCAGACATCATTTACGGGGACTTCATCGTAGTATCAACAGGATGACGGATGTTGCCCAATATCTTACGCTTCGATATCAAGTCGACGTAGACGGCCAAATCTGATTTGGTAGTTGTTCTATGTTTCGATAAGTTTAACGACCATTGATCGCATATAAACTTGAAATAAGTTTATTCTACTTTTGTCGACGCACGAACATTCAGATTATTCAAATGCATCTTCGAGTTCAACGAAGCGAGATCATCTCACCTCGAATCTAACTTAGGACGTCTCACTTAGTACCACTTAATAAAAAATCATATAAGATTTTATTGTTGAAACTACCTAAGTAATTATGTTGTTATCTATCGACGAATTTTATATAACTTGAAGTGCACAGAAAATATAATCAAATAGGTTTGGGACTCTTTTTTCTGTCGTGTGTTAATTCTTTACAAAAGTTTATATGGTCAAGCTTACAAAAAATATATAATTAACATCGATTGGCTCTTTAGAAAAGAGTATCGTAATATAGATTTTTTTCTTTTACAAATGGTCGTTGCTGTCGAAGCATTATTATTTTTTAAGTTGATGAATTATATTGGAAGATATTGATAAACCATGGGAGTTCATTGATATAAATATTTTGCGTTAAAAATTTCCTGTTAAAAAAAAAAAAAAAAAAAAAAAAAAAAAGAAAGAAAGAAAGAAAGAAAAAGGACGTAAAAAAAAGAAGGAATTCGTCTTTCGGCATGATTCGTAATAAGAGTTCGTGTGTCGATTAGAACATTCATAAAAGAATGTAAGATTACTGCATTGAAATTATCACAAGCGCTATAATATTTCTACCAAGATTACTAGCGAACTTAATGAACATTCCATACATAACATCGTTTCAAAATCGACTGATTTCACTTTATAGCAAGCAAAATCGAGTAATATGTATTTGAAAATTCAATTAAAATCCGAATAAATGAAGCAAAAAATACACTATAGGCTTTTCTATAATTTAGCGAATATGCGCATATGACAAAATGTTAAAATATGCAAAGTATGCAATTTTATGTACAAAAAATTATATTTTTCCTTATATAAATCTCGTACAAAGTAGAATGCTGCATTGTGAAAATCGTATCTTCGACAAGGGAATCAAACGGGTTACTTTTAAATGAAAGTACAATCATATAAATTTCAATTTTATTACTAATTAATATAATTAACACCCATGCGATTTATTGTATCAAAGTGACATGTAAAATCGCATGATCTGTTTTGACTATAAAGAAAAATATCAATCAAAATTGCAAATGCAGTCATGTAAAATTATTTATATAAGAAAAACTATTGAAATTTGACGCTTTCTTTTTTTTTCAGTTTCAATACAACCTTTTTATTTGTGCTTATTCATATATTCTATGTACATAGATATGGCCTTACTATTATTTATTTTCATAGTAATATTAGTTGTAATAAAGGCTAGTATATCTCTAATTTATCTGCTAAACAATTAAAAAAAGTTTCAATTGTATGCTTACATACGTACGTGCTTATATTTATTTCTATTGTCTAATTTATTGTATTTTACTACATATTCTTTTTGTCAATTTTGCAATGTTAATTGCGTAATATTGTTGTTAGATGCGATTATAATTGCAAAATTAAATACATATTTATTTAAAACTTATAAAGCAAAGAATCGATTAGATTGGAACAAAATAGTTGTTCCGATTTTTATTATGATATCTTATTTCATCCAATAAACGCTTGCCGCAAATGTTTTTATTATATTATTAACACCACAAAATGATATTTCGATACAAAAGTGTTATGTGTATATACATACGTACTTACGTACGTACGTACGTAAGTATGTGTGTGTTTAGCGCTATATCATTATTGAATAACATCGCTCTTTTCATATAGATACACAGGAAAATAGTAACACATTAAACGAAAGCAAGCAAGGAACATGTGCAGATTATATTTCTCTGAAGGTAGGTTACTCGAAAGAATTAGTTATATGTACTTGTACAAATTTTATTCTTAAATTGAAGGAAAAATGGATATGTGGACCTTATTAAAATTCGCTGTAAAATAAATAAAGACAATCTGGAGAAATATTATTAAAAAGATGGTAATACAAACCAAAATAATCATCTGTCGTCTATAAGTACGCACAAAGTATTGAAACAGTGTCAAGAGGATTATAACAAATGTGAATGATCTGTACAATTATGCATTATTTTAAATTATATTATTTTGTTTTTCTCTTACAAAAATAAATGTGTAAAATTCGCGCGTAACAATTTCAAATCTTTTTGCAATCGCTCTCATTTAACAGTTTTATAAAATTTTTCTTGCGTTTTTCGAAATAATGTTCTTATGTTCTAATTCTCCCATATAACTTCATTTATATGACACACCGTACAAATATCGAATTCAAAGATAACAGGTTAATTCTTAAACTCCATTATACTTCATTATACTTCATTATAAACACTATTATAAATTAAAATTGTATAAAAATAATAATTGAAATTTAAAAGAAGAATTGTGCGCTTAAAAATTCTATCATCATCAATAATGCATTACGTCATTCTATATTTTTCTATTTATCACCGTAATCTCACATATAATCTTTTAAAAGTACGTTCGTTGATATTTTTTTTTAACAATGGTATAAAGAAATAACGATATTATGTATTTCAGATATGTGCTTTGTTATGTTTGTTTTAAAGATAATTTAATTAATATTCTATCCCGAAGATAAAATAATTTTTTCATGAAGATCATGTATATCATTTTTAAATTTTATAAATATTTATCAGGAGCTACCATTTTTGTTGTAGTTAAAAGTAATTTACGTTACGTAATATTTATTGTTAAATATAAATGTGATTAAATAAATAGTGGACTCAGTAAAAATGTCAATACCTATAAAAAATTCTTCGTTTTTATTAAATTTCTATGATTTCCTAACACATAAAAAATATTACAGTCGTTTAAATATGAGATAGCTATCGAGACGTGTTAAATATAAAATAATTTTAAACGTATTTATCATGTACTTGCTTATACAGAACGCTAATATAGAAAATTATTATAGTTTATAAATGTTGATAATAATTTGTGATAAACGTACAAAGCCATCAGAAAAAATATCGTACATTTTTTGTATATCAATGTTATTATTTCTTTTTAAAAAGAAGATATATTATTTACAAATCCGTGTTGAAATAAATATACTCAGACTTTTCGAAAAATTGTTGTATTTATATATAGATGTATATGTGAGAAAATTATGTGTGGATATTCGCATCGTATAAAGTTTTTTATAAATGCTTGTGTGTGTCACTCAGAACGGTATTAATTTGCATGTATCTCTCTCTCTCTCTCTCTCTCTCTCTTTCTCTCTCTGCAAAATCTGTGTGAGAAAATAGTTATTTTCCAAGAAATCATATAGATCAGTGAGCCAAATTCTTTCTCGGAATTCATATGGATCAGTAGTGCTCAAATATATGGATCAAAACTTTTTTTTCTCGTATATTTCTAGTTATTACTTTTCCACGTATAATGTCGTTTCTTTATCCAAAGACAGTGTTCAAGTATTTCTGATAATTCTCGACTGCTATCGAATCGTGATATATTATTATTATTAACATATTAATTATTTATTATTATTAATATATTATAAACAAAAATTTTACGTAATTTTTTGTTGAAATATTTACACGAGTGACTATTTGGTTTATTAATTGAATAATTTCTTCGGGCGCGATTTAGAAAATTGGAGGGAAGATTTATGTATATGTAATATTTACGTATGGCTATTGACGATTACGATTAATAAAATTTCTCATGGATTTCTAAATATTATTCCGTCTTTTAATGATAAGTTAATTAATAAAATTATTCAATAAAAATTTGACTAATTTCTTTTGTCCTTTTTCTTTGATATATAAGAGATACGTATGTATCTATAATAGATTGAAATTGAATAATATAATATAAAAGTTGTCATCGTTGATCCGTGGGTCTCCAGAAGCGGCAACCTCCAAGTGGTGAGACCTGGGCAATTGATATTTTTGTCGATGCAATGTATATTATATCTTACATAATATACATTCCACCGAAAATGATATCGAGCTAATGGCTGCTTAATGTAAAACATATATAATGTTATAATGTAAGCATATATAATATAATAATGAAGCTTTTTATATAATTTATTATTCTAAAATGACTCTCTGAACGTTAATTTAAAAATGTATCGTTCGTTCATTTAATTTATTCTCGTCATTTGTTCTATTTATATAATATTACTAGCTGCATCTATTATATTGCTATCTCTCATATTGCATAATAATCAGAATTTATTTAAAAGAGACGATATTAAAAATAAATATTTACTTTCAGGTTAATAATATAGGTCAGATATGGTCTCGGAGAATAAATAAGATATAAATATTAAACAATTCGATGTAATTTTTATTAGTCGCGGTGGGAGTCCAAGAAAATGATACCGTATGCAACAATATATGATTTTACAATAGAATATTTTATATTATACAAAACAAACTATTACTGTTGCATTATTTATGAAATCCTATCACCCAACGCAAAAAAGCATATACATTGAATTATAATAATTCTGAACGTTAAGATACGAAGCATATTAATTGATATAATCAAAGGAATAACAAAAGATATAGTTATGTGAAATAACATATTTGATGGCAAAGATTTAGTAATTCACTGAGCCTATACGATATTTTTCTTAAGTTAAGACTTTATTAAAAAAATATTCATTATCCTAATTACGAATATTTATAATATTATGTATTTGATAATCTTATACTAATATCACAATTGCTCGAGACAGTCAAGATTTCCAGTATTTGTGCACGTGATCTTAATCTATGCTTAATCTACGCAACTGCCTTAGTAATCTATTACATAATTATTTAATATTTCTGAATTTTGTATTGTTTAAATTCAAAGCATATTTAGTTGCATGAATAAAAAATGCACAATCAGTGACTTATAATGCAGTGAGAAATACATAAACTGCATGTAAAGGTAACACTTTCATAACAGAGTATATAATTATATCTTAAGGTAATTTTTAAAAAATTAGTTCTAGTTCAAAATTTTTGTACAATTTTACATAGTATTTGTATTTTAAATATTATCACTGCCAGTAATGAAATAATCCTAACTAAATGATTGCTTACACATTTATTCTAATTGATATCCATCTTAGAATAAGTAGCACAGGTATCTCTTCAAAGTAAGTGTTAGGGTTTGTAAAGGCACTGCCTCATTTAATATAATTTACAGAATTCTAAGAATAAGAATCTTTTTATCGTAATTAGAATTAGTGTGAATGATTGAATAATTCAGTGAACTAAATTAGATTTATTTAGTGCCTTCAAGAATTTGAGTACAGAAGACATAGTTCTCAACTGATTAACATTTTCTTATTCTATTTATTCCTTTTTACACAACTTATTTGGTAAATAAATGTCAATATAGTCAATTTATGTCTTCTGCTCTCAGACTTCTTTAAGAAGATTATTAATTAAATATTTTTGTCTATGAAGGAAATCTTAGTAAATACATTACTCGGATCAATATTTTTGTAATCGTAGTGTACATTTTTTAAAAAATTTTTTAGGATTTCTCAATATACATATAATGTATCTTAGAAATCTATGTATTAAGACTACCATAAAAATCCTGTATCTCTTCTAATTTTAACGATGTTTCTACAAAATATTCAAAAAAGCCTGCAACATTGTCATTTACAAAATGTTACATTCAAGTTTACATTTAATTCGGTTCGAGTAACAACAATGTTACTATTTGCGTAAAACATCATAGGCGTGTATATATGTATACATATATATACATACATATATATATATATATATACACACACATGCACACACACACATACACACACGCATATATATACATATATATATATATATATATATATATATATATATATATATATATATATATATATATATATATATAATCACAAGTACACGATCTAAGTATTAAATTAAGTAATATAATATGCATATATTCGGAAATTAAATTCATATTGACACAAGTACAATCATTAATGATTTCATAAAGGTACTTCTGTGCATCTTAAAAGATAAATTGTAAATTTTCTTAATAATTCATATAAATGAAAATAATTTTTGTCAAGGCTCTATTATTTCTACAACAGAATGATATTTTTATTAGCCAAGATAAATAAAATGTTTATAAAAAATATTTTTGAATTGTTTCTCTTTGTTGTTTTTTTACTGTGCAATCAAATTTTTAAACGAGCAATATAGTTGATATTATCAGATCTGAGTAAAAAAATGCAAAAACACAGATGCTTGAAATTAATCCGCATAATTAACATCAGTATGAAATCAATTACAAACAGAGGTTACAGTGCAGTGCAGTAAATAGCAAATGTAAAACAGATCTCTTTAAACTCTAAATAAAGTGAAATAATTTTTTCATTTCATTCGTTTTGAAGATCAGCAATTAACATATATGAAAATATGATCATCCACACTTCTAAAATCTTTAACTGTCTTTTTTCAATTGATTCAAATGTCATTAAATAATATAGACGTGATAAGAGTATTATAGGGCGGATTACAGTGCTTTCATTTCTTTCTCGTAGTCTTTTTACACTTGCACTTAAACGTTAAAAAATACCTTTATTTCTCTGTCTCATAATAGTGGAAGTACATTGTTGCAGGAGTATTAAACTCATATTGCTGTTAATAGTTGTTTCAAGTATACACTTTTTTGCATATGAATTTCCTGTAATTCTCAGGCTATACATCTGGCATTCATCTAGATATTTTTCATATAGTGTTATCCATTTATATATAGATACACTATCTTCAAAATGTGAATTTTTAAATTGCATATTAAATTATCATGTTTTTCTTTATGTACAATTGCAAATTGATTAGAACTCCAATGTACATCTTATATTACTAACATAGAAGATGCTGTTAAGGTCATTCTAAAAGAAAAGCACGTGCACGAGCTGTCATTTTCCTCACACGACCCCTACTACTTATGCTAATTCCAGGTTCTGGTATACTTTCATCACTTTCTTCAGCATAATAACGTCGTTTTATTTTACGTCTATTTCTCACTGGTACTGTACTACTCTCATCACTTTCTTCATTATAACGTGCACGCTTTCCACTTCTCCTAGAATTTGATAATACATCTCGATGGTCAGACTCCCTACATGTACGCGATTTTCTCTGTGATGTTGAAGGTTCTACAAGTTCATCTGTATCATCACTATCTGAATCTTCATTGTTAGTACCATGATGCAACTGTTCCTCCTCCTCCTCCTCCTCTTCCTCCTCCTCTTCTTCATCATCATCGGAATGACTTTCAGAGGCATTATTTCTTTTATTGTTGGCTGTATGTTTTGATCCTGTCGCATGTGGCAACTTTCGCGATCTTGTATTACTTCTATGAATTACTTCCTCTTCGCTTTCTTCATCGGAAGACTCCGAGATAAACTGATCTTGGTCCTCTGCATCGTCTTCTGCATCATCGTCGGGAATAACAAATTGTTTAGAATTTGATTTCACTTGTCTATTATTTTTACTATTTTTACTTCGGTTTTTACGAGTCTGTTTTCCACGACCACTAGGAGTATACACCTCTCCAGAATCATTATCTGTACTCTCACTGCTTACTGCTTTCCTTGCTCTAGTTCGTCGTACAGGAGGACCATGACTGCTATCACTTTCCAATGATGCTTCGGATTCACTTAATTCACTATCACTTTTTTTAACTTTCCTTTGCACCAAAGATCTAGGAATCCTCAATTTTATCATCGAACGCGTTGAGCTACCCGATTGTTTTTGAACACCATTAGTCATTCGAGATGGACCTTTAAGAAAATTAAGATTAATTTGTATTGGCTGGTTAAGCATAATCTAATATTTCTTAAGCTAGATTATATATATATATAGATAGACACAGACACACACACACACACACAATAAAGCCAGCCATGTATACCTGGTTCATGCAGATTAGTAGGCTTTCTTTTTTGTTGCACAACTGTTCCTTCATCTTCTGTATTTATATCTTCATCTTCGGTACATATAAACTTTCCTTTGGATGGTCCTATTAGTTAATAATAAGTACTTTAGTATAATTGTTGATAGACAAAAATACATCATTTTAAAAAATATATTTGTGCATGCAATAGCATAGAATTCATGGTCTAAACTCTTGAAAGAACAGAAATTACCAGTGCCATTTGTTAAACGTTGCTTTCGTTTCTGTACTTTCGTTTTCACATTTACTTTCGCATTATTATTACGTCTCCTTGCCGACTTCCAATTAGAAACAATTTTACGCATGTGTTCTTCAAACATTGCTGATAATCTTATTGTCATAGAATATATCTATAAATAATAAAAAGATGAAAGAAAATCTTTCTACAAATAGTAAGAATTTCTTCGATAATCTCTTTTTACTTACTCTTGAACGTTTGTTTGTATTATAATTTCTACTATTTGTAAATATTAATTTCATATCTTTTGCAAATTCCAAAGGTGTTTCATAGTTGCCACCTAACAAATCTTCCTTTACAGTGCGTAAATCCATTGGTGTATCTATTATTTGATGATAATCTGGATGTTCCAACCTATCGACTGGTTCTCTATAAGATATATAAAGAATATTAAAACGAACAAATTTTTTTAAAACAATCGAGACTATTATCGTCATTATCAATATAACACCGTACCTGAAAGGGATTGAATCTTCGCATTGCCATAAAGTATCCAATAACTGTCGACATGCCAATTTCCAATCTTGCGATATTTCTTGCGATCGAAGATTTCTACTAGAGGTTGATCTTTGTGTACTCGTTGAAGGTTTATCTTTTGCAGCCATATCTGTATCAGATTCCGAAGAACAATATGTATCGACTAATTGATGATATACTGCAGGTACGTCTAACTCCGTGGTTTCTCTGAAAAGAAAAAAAAAAAAAAAAAAAAAAAGAAAAAATGAAGGTAACAATCAACATATTCCATAAATAATCGATCCTGCATTGTTACATACTTGACAATAGTAAATTCATTACTTACTTTATTATACGCAAACATAAATCTGTGATTATCCTTGCACATTTCACTATCCCACTATGAGGTTTATTAAATATCTCAGCATTTGTTGCTAAATATCTAATATCAAATTGAGCAGATGTTATTCTTCGATAAAAATGATTTTCGAAACGAGCTTTTATAGTTGATAAATCGATGGGATATTGTACAACAAATGCATAACCAGGATAAGCATTGAGATCTACTGGTGCCACAAAAGGTTCTGCTATCGCGAGGCTCATTACTTGGTCAAGGCCTCGTATAATTCTACGACATGTTGCAACTCTGTCACCCATTGGCCATTCTTCTGGAGTAGGTTGGTACAATATAGCTTGTATTTCCTCTGGAAGCACAGGAACTGCTCCTCCAATTTCAGCAGGCAATCCTTAAATATAATTTTATTTAAATTTC